TTGCACAGTTTGTTGCATAAAGTAATCTGGTTTATTTTTTTTTTAGATATTTTCTCTGTTTTGCGGCTCCGAATTTGTGAAACTGGCAGCACGGAAAATATTTTAAAATCAAAATCAAAATCCATCAGTAAAACTTTATTTATAGCAGTTTATTGACTAATCAAGTAGATAAATTTAAATTTTCACCCAAAATATTTATTTGATATTTAATATTTAATATTTAATGGATAGTTACTCTAATGTGATAAAAAAATTATTGTTTTTATTTTGTTTTTTGTTAATTTATGTATTTGTTGTTGTTGTTAATAATAATAAAGATAAAAATAGAAAAAAATTAAAACCTAAAAACTTAGAGAATTATATTAAAACTGTAAAAAAAAAAACAAAAAAACATAAAATAATAAAACACTATGTAAGAGTCAGAGGGAATATTTTTGTTTTATTGGTTTTTAATTTAAAAATATCAGCATTTTCTGCTTTTTTAAAAATTCATCTAGAAGGCAGCAAAGTTAAATTTATTCCTAAAGCTCATTTCAAATTAGTTGCAGTAGAATTAAAGTCTGTAAAAAATAAAATCATTAAACACGTGAACCGCTCCATGTTTTCATCTGCGTCTTTAAGCGTCAAAACAAACATCCGCTTTTCTTTCTTTTTTTAAAAACCAAAACCAAAAGCGGTCGTCCCAAAATAAACCCGTCAGAGCGGGTATCCTCCTGCGATCACGTGGACGCTCTCTTTCTCTTTCTAACTTCCTTGCCGCCCTTTTCGGACGACGCTCGGGAAGTTCAGGGAAGTTCATGTCAGGGTGTCGCTTCGCAGGAATTCCAGGCATGTTTTTGGAAACTCGGGTCGCTGCTGGAGACGCCGCCGGCCCTCCGACAGCTGCTCCGCCACCTTCGCTTCGCCGCCGCCGCCGAGCTTCTAGCGATGCTGCAGAAACCGTGATGTTTTCTGACTAATGCTAACTCGTGATTCTCTCTCTTCTCTGTTTCCTTCCTGTGAAGCCATCTGCAAGCAGGGATGCAGCCCGTCGCACGGGACCTGCAGCTCGCCGGGGGAATGCAAGTGAGTGTCTGTTTGTTTGTTTGTTTGTTTGTTTGTTTGTTTACGGCCGGCGTCAGGTGATGCTGTTTGGACGCAGCGGGCTTGTTGATGACATTGGACCTCCCCGGCTCGGGCCTCTGAAGTTCCTCCTCCTCGTCCCTCTGATCCAGCAGCCATTGTTCTGCTTCCTGTTCTGAAGCCGCTGCAGGTTTCCTCCCCACCAGCAGCAGCAGCAGCAGCAGCAAGAAAACAAAAAAAACAAAACTTCCAGCCGGCCCGCCTTCTTTTCCGATCCTTGTTTTGGCTGGATCCAAACAAGCTGCAGAAACTGGAATCTAAAAATCTAGTGGGATCCTGAATACGTCAAACTTTACATAAGCGTGGCGTCGTTTCACCTTCGGGTTCTGGTTCCTGTCTCAGTTTTTACTCGCTGTGGGCTCGTTTTTCACAGAACCTCCTGCACCTCTACAGAAGCAGAACTTTGAATCAGCAGCGTCGTCGTTTTAGCTCCAGATTCAATTAGATCTGTTTAATCAACGAGACGTGACGGCGCCGCAGGAGTTTAAGTAGAGACGATAAATCCTGTTAGAAGTATTCAGTCATGTGCTAATTCATTAGCTGCGACGTTTATATTCCAGTTATGGGCTCAAGAGGATATCGGATATATCTACAAAATATTAGTTCACGGGTCCCATCGTCCTTGTTCTTTGTTTTTTAAATTTTTTAAAAATACATTTCTGTTGAACCACAATTCAGAATGTTGTGATTTTCCTAAAATTTTTATTTATTATTACTTTTGTCAGTTTCGACTTATTTCAGTGTTTTGTTTTCCTTCTTTAACGGGAGGCTGTGAACGCATCTGAGGACGACCGTCGGTATTAAACTTGAGCTATGCTGCTTTTACCGAGGACGGACCATCGGATTTATTTATCGTCAGTTAAGCTGCAACGTAATCAAAGTGATAAAATACGTGAAGAAAACCCAATAAAACCAATAAAACCAATAAAACCAACGGCATCACACCAATAAGAACACCTGCTCAGACCGTCCTGCAGCTCTTTTCCTCCAGTTGTGTCGAGTTGTGTACAAACACTTCCCCGGTCGTTTCCCAGAGCTGCTGTCGCCGCCGAGGGTTTCTCTAAAAAGGCTGAGCGGGCGTTTGTCGCTGCAGGAAATTCAGATTTGATTACACGTGGAGCCCGAATGTACATTTAGACGCAGCTTTAAAAAGCCAAACGGCAGCAGCAGCAGCAGCAGGAGGAGGGAGGAGAGGGTTTGTTGTTTTTAACGCCGAGGCAGGTTTGATTCAGTTTAGATCTCGTAAAAGAAAAAAAAAGAAAAAAAAACGAGGCTGACATTTCTCATAGAAAATGGCCAGAGGATTGGAAGAGACGGAGGAACACCCAGGAATGTGCCTCGACTTGTGACTCCATCGCGATCGGGAGCGAACAGAGAAACAAGAAGTTTGAGCAGAAGGTTTCAGCTGATCAGGAAAGAAATGTGAAAATATGAGACTGAAGGTGGTTTGGTGTCGGGTTTGTAAATAAAGTTCAGTGAGAGAAAAGTCAGGAACCGAGGAAATATAACCGATTATCGCCGACGCGTGGCTTGCTTTTGGTTCTACCTCCAGATGAAGTGGTTCAGATATAAACGCTTAAACCCTCCAGCGGGTGTGACGAGCACCTCATCGTCCAAATTACTCCGTTTATTGGATTCAGAAACATGAAGACTCTGTTGAGAAAACGAACCAAGTCGGAGCTTAAAGTCGTCGTAGTTCATCCAGATCACTTTATTCTACGTGTGTCACTTCAAAATTTAAGGAAAAAAAAAACCTGTTTGTTCCAGATTCTGTTAAAAAAAAAAAAAAAAAAAAGCCAAAATTTCTGCTCTGCTCCACCGAGACGCCGCAAATTCAGAGTTTTCTACAGACAGGGACTCAAAACTGCCCAAAATAGAATGAAAGTGGCCAAAAAACTTGAAAACTGACATTTTGAACCAATTTTGTGGCCGTTTTAAACTAATTTTGGGTCATTTTGGGCAGTTCGAGTTCGTTTTGGACGATTCTTGAGTCAATTTAGACGATTTTATGTCACTTTGGGCAAGTTTCAAATCATTTAGGGCAATTTTAGAGGAAAATAAAACCTAGTGGATCAATAAATAAATGCAGCATGGATCAGAACCAGAGAACAGACGAGCCAGTTGTTGGAGATACATCCAGCATGGAGGAACATCTTTCTACATCTGACGGTCTTGGTTTCGTGTTATATTCTCAAGCGACTGAGCTCTTTTAAATCCAAGATAAATCTTAAAATGACGACTAGAGTCATAAACCTGAAGTCAAACAGACGAGTTAAATAAACAAACGGTCAGATGAGGTGGACTCTCTGTGGGGAGAAGCAGCGACTGAAGGGTTAAAGCCTGACAGCAGCAGCCAGGAAGAAAAAAAATCCTTCCCAGGCTGGCAGAGGGAACCTAAAAATGTGTGTTTGGTTTCCTACGTCCACAACCTACGCTGCCTCGTGTGACGCTGCCGGTATCCAGGCAACGGGTCCGGAGGCCGGGCTCGGGGCCGGGGAGCCCCCTGGACGTCTCCGGCCCACCGCCCGGCCTCCGGGCGTGGCCGGCCGGCCGGGGATATTTGTGGCCGCCGCACCGTGCGGTGGCGGGGCTGGTGGGTAATGCCACCCTTGGCCTTGTGGCCGCCACCGCCGGCCTGTTTCCCCGCAGCCAGACAGACTGTCCACGGCGCAGGTCGACCACAGCGCCAGTAAACAAGCAGCAGTCGACATCCTGCTCCTGATCCCACAAAATAAAACGCTTGTGAATGAAGCAAAATCCTAAAATCATCATGTTTAATCAATGCCACTTTATTCTACGTGCAAAATCACCCAAAAATAAACCATGATTCTGTCAAAAACAAAAAATTCTGCATTTTTTGATGCAATAACAAAACCATGAATGACTCAGCTGGGCCTGACGCTCACTTAATGAAAATTCTGGGCATTTTTTTTAAGGTTGAACTGCAGGCAGTGCTTCAGAAAATCCAACCGACTGGATCAGAGATCCTCGAGATGAGAGAGAAGAAGTCTGGAGACATGGCAGCAGTTAAATATCTGTTTTCTTTACTCATGAGCTGCAAAATTGGATTAAAAAGAGTTAAAAAAAAAGTAATTTTGGACAAATTCTGAGTCATTCGGAACAAGTTTTTGAGTTATTTTGGACGATTCTTGAGTCGATTTGAGTCATTTTATGTCACTTTGGACACGTTTCAAATCCGTCTGGACAATTTTAGATTAGACTTTAGACTAGAGATGAAAATCCAACCTACTGGATCAATAAGATAAATGCAGCCTGGATCAGAACCAGAGAACAGAGGAGCCAGTTGTTGGAAAATACATCCAGCATGATGGAACATCTTTCTACTGATGATGGTGGAACATCTTTCTA